ATAGGATAGGGATGTAGTTGTAAGGTCTCTTTATGGTGTGAAGGTACTTTTTCCAAGGTTGCCTAGTGTTAGGCTTATTCTGCAGTACTCCCTTGGTCTGGTGGCATCTTGGGCACCAGCAAGACTAGGTTGTCACTGGCTCCCTTTTTATTTGTGTCAGGGATGTAGGTACGTCAAAAATGACGTACTACAGGGGGATCGTCAGAAAAAGGGATTCCGACGAACAGGCAATCTTTCTTTCTTCAACCTTAGATTTGCAATTTGTCCGACCTTAGATTGAGTGTAAAAATTATATCAGCTTGTAGCCCTTTGTGATACGGTCTCATCTGACCTGATTGTGCGATGATCAGATGTACGGATCTTGACTTATTGATTCACGAAGTTTGAGATATCTTAAAAACTCTGATTTCCATGGTTTCAGGTTCATCTTCTGTCTACAAAAGCTTTGGTTCTTGGTCACGTCATGATGCATGCCATATGTCAAAATGACCGAGTCGTCAAGACTTAGCTTGTGTCCGAATTTGAGTTTGTTCCGACTCCAAACGAGCAATGTGTGGGCATTTGCACATCATCTCGAGATGTGACGAACCTACCATGATTAGGGATTGGTTCGGTGAGGGCACACAGCATAGTGTAAAACCTACCCATTTGAGATAATTTGGGCCCAGAATGTTCCTGGGAGATTCGATTGAGTCCAAATTTGGTCCTTGGGGGTTTTTCAAAGTTCTGGATGCAATAACAATAGTCTGGTATTATTTTGAAGCCCCTAGCATAGACCTGTAGTTGTAAGGTCTCTTTTTGTCATGATAGTACTTTTTCCGAGGTTGCTTAATATTAGGCTTATTTTGCAATGTTTCCTTGGTTTTACAGTGTCTTGGGTACCGACAGCACCAGGTCGTCACCGGCTCTCTCCTTATTTGCACCAGGGGTGTAAGTACGTCAAAATGAAGTATAACTAAGATACGTGGGGCCATTGGGATATGTGAGTTAGCCTTCAGGTGAGTGCCCCTCTAGAGTCCTCACCCCTATGAGCAGCCCACAATAGTAAATCGATGTTCTCTCTTTAGCAGTAAGTTGGGTCTTATGTGGTACCTATTAAAGCCTAAACGCATTTCTAAAATTCAAAAACTTTTATTAGTTATGAACCTTAGCCCATGCTATTTATAAAACTAGGTAAAATTATATCGAATCCTTTTTGTACGGTGGTTTCTTAAATTGAGAGTACATTAGACGAGGTTAAAATTAAACTGATGGCCCATGATTGAATCCATGTGTAACACAACTCATTCACCAAGTCTGTGGCTTCATCCTTGTCTAGGTCTAGAGTATCAAACTATTAGTCCAAGGGGCATCATGCTCCTCGGACCCATGACACTGTTGTGGGGGAGTCAAACCTCCACCCTCATGGATTTACATCTTTCCATGGTCGTCAAGATGGCTCCCCTCAAGCACATCTTGGGGACCGTGGATCATATGGTCAACATGGACTACAACATACTCAATAGCCAAGGGAGGAGACTAGAAACTCATATTAAAGAGATAGTTGACAATCAACTTGGCCAATCTGGTCGAGTCAGGGGTGGATCCACAAATAAGCTCCATCTGACTGACCCACCTGGGTTAGCCCCAGTGGTCAAACATAGTTGAACCACACGAGCCATAAGTCATCTAACCAAAGGTCTGGGTCGAGTTATCGACCTTCAGATCAAAATAATCTAAATAAATCGAATCAAGATCAAGTCCAAAAGTCTAAGTCCTCGAACCTAAGCCCTAGTCAACATAGTACCCTTGGGGTCAACCTCGTAAAACCCACAATCATCGTGGCTCTCAAGTGGAACAACCTCATAAAACACCTAGTTGTAATGTTGGTATGGAGGATCTGGCTCTCAAGTCGAACAACCTCATAAAACATCTAGTTGTCATGTTGGTATGGAGGATCAGCCCCACTGAACCTCTAAGAGTCATAGTAGCTATTCACTACTTTCAGTGACCACCTTGTCCTGCAAGCCTTTATTATTATCTAGCAAGTCAGGGTTATACCCTTCGAGCACTAAAAGGTCAAAATACTTCAACCTAGTAATCACACTTGCCAACAATCCTCACAAACAGCCTAGTCAATTCCTAATGTCTAACTCATGGGGTAGCCTAACTAGTTGGTCCAACAAAACGAACATAAATATCACTCAACCCAAGTTCACCAATACATAATAGGAAACCAGTCTTCAGATCAAACTCCACCTAAAGACCCAAATAGGCATACCCATAGGTCAAAACCTGGTAGTGAGCCAATCTGTCTCAGTGGCCCAACAGATTCAGTCACCCAACAATGTGTCTCAATCCATAGAGGTCCCACTAGTCTAGCCTGTGTCTTGGGCCCATCAATCTGCTTAGTCTCATCACTAGACACCACTATTGCAAGCTCACATCCCTACCCCAGTTAACCAGGCGATCGAAGGTTTCATATTAATTCCTGTGACTAGGTTAACCAAGATGGAGGAAAACATGAAGATCCTTCAGGGTGCAATAGAAAGAATAGGAATCCATGATTTCCAGACCCCTAAGGATTATTTAGAAAAAGCCTTAGGAAGCTTTGAAGATCTACCAATGGGTTTCATAGTACCATAATTTAGGAACAAATTTGCCAAAGAAGGAGACCCAGAAGTTGATGTCCACGCTTACCTACTCTCAGTGCTAGCTTTGAAGTACCTTAAGGTCATGTTCCATCACATCCTTTCAGGTGATCGCCTTTCATGCTATACGAGGACAATAAACACTTACCCGAACTTGACCCCTAACATGTTATTCCAACATTTTGTCAAACATTACTATGAGGCAAGACCTAGGTCCATATCCTTAGGTGAGTTAATAGCTTTAAGGCAAGAATCTGGTGAGACCTTCACTAAGTACATTGACCAGTTTAGAAGAAGTGCCTCCCGGGTCATCGAATTCCCTCTCTCTGACAGAACAAAGATCACCCTCGCCATTAAAAATTCCTTACCAGATTATAAATTATTCTTCAGTTAAGGAGACATGCCCTTTTCGTTTGACTCTATGCACAAAAGAGTCAAGTGTTATGCACAAGCCAAGGAGTGTGCAACTAGTATCAAACCGGATGAAGATCAAGAACCAAATCAGTCCCCACAATAATATAACAAAAAAATACAGTGGGACTAATTGGTGTAAAAAAACACTCACACTTATTCACATGAAAAAGTTTTTCCACGTGAAAATACTTTCATGAAAGTATTTTTACACGTAACAAACTTTCCCTTAAAATCCCAAGTTGTCACCTGAAATCTGCCTTCAAATATTCGGCAACATTCGAAAAGTGGCTGTTATGAAGGAAATGGACCTTGACCATGACACTATACGAAGGCAATAGGTATGGTAAACAAATATCCGTTTTTGCTTTGTTAACAACAGTCATATAACGTGTTAATGCCCTTTATAATTGGGAAAATTGTTTCATACGCTCTGGACCACATTTTTAGAATATGTAGCCTAAAGGTGTAGAGCATCCATCTTAAAGATGGATGCAAATAGGTGGTCCATCTAGAAACAAGTGTAGCTAACGATCCAAATATTTTTTTAATATAATTATTATTTTTAGTTTTTAAATTATTATTTTATTTCATATTCATGATCTCTATGATAAAGATTATATATTCTCTGAAAATTAGGATTTACATTTAAAAAATATATTTATTGTCAAGCCCGCATTTCTACAATATGTGGGTTGGCAGCATAGAAACTGTGTCCTTATAATTGACATAAAATAAAGCATGTTTTAGAAAACATAACTTAAATATGAAAATAATCACTTTTATTACAAAAAAAAAAAAAAGAACTTCTATTAAAATAAATATTTGAAAGATTACCATGTGTACTTCTCCTTTATGCGATCATTTTTTTCATGGATTTTTTTTATGAAAATTGTTTCATGCGGGCTGAACCGCATTTCTACATGTGCGGTCCAGAAAGTGTAAAGTAGGTATTCCATTTAAAAACAATGGAAACTAACGGTCTACATGTTTTCCTAGTAGAATTATTATTTTTAGTTTTTAAAATTTATTTATTTTTTCATATTCATGATCTTTATGTTAGAGGTTAAATGTCTTTAAAATTTAAGACTTAAAATCCAACTCAAAAATATATTTATTAAAAAGCCGCATTTTTACATACGCGGGCGTGACCGCATAGAACCGGGTCCTTTCTTGATGTGCTCGTTTTTTCCAATAGTTATTCCCTTTAGTACGCCGTTCTTTCTTTCCTCAGTGAAACTCCATTTTCACTTGTTAACGGCTGATACCGTTATAAAACAGAAACGGAATATCCGTGTTCTATTACGCCATAGAGAGTTGTTGGAACGTTGATCATGGGCTATTTTTATGATTTTTTAATTACTTTCTACTCTATCGAAGCCGGGGCACAAGTGACTTGAGCAGCTGGGGATTTGACTGTTCTCGTGACAGCAGTGCCCTTCTCTCTCTCTCTCTTTCCTTTCCCGAAACGTAGTCGAACGGCTAGTTTTGTGGCGGTCTTCGAGATTTTGAAGAGGCCCAACGACCAGCAATAAAGGACACCCTTCGATACCGTGCACCCTGTCCTCTTGTGCGTCCATCGATGACATTCAGGTAGATGAGTTTGAGATAGGGAGAGAAAATTAGTTAAAGAGGTAGAGAGAGAAGGGGTAACCTTAGAATTGGTTAGAGAGAGAAAGAGTTGGTTGGGTTACATTTTTAGGGATGAAAATTATATTCAAGATGGTGAAGAGAGAGGTAAGTGGGGATATTAAGAAGGTTCACGTTTGTATAAGGTGTCAACTTTATACTAAAAGTAAAGTGTACCATTAAACTGCGCTGAAAATGCAGTTTCACTGTGACAAAGCCTACAATAATATGAAGTTCTATTTTTTTTTTTCAAATGTGAAATTTGAAGTTTGAGTGACAATCAAATAAATCTAAAAATCTTGAAATTGGACAAAGAGACGAGAGATAGGAAAGGTTCGCTGAATTGTGAATCAGTAGGGGAGATCCCCTACTTTATGCTCATTGCTCAGTAAGTTCAGAATCCAACGGCCCTTTCAAGCCCAACCCAAAACGCGGTTCCCCAACTTTTGCCATTCTCAAGACTGTTCAATAAAGCTTTCGATTTTAGTAAATATTTTGGGGTCCTCCCGACGCACAAGGCATCATCATCATCATCATCGTCGTCGCATCCCTGCTAGCCAAATAAGAGAGTGAAAAGACGAACCCAGTCCGTCACTCACGGCTGAGACACCCGAAGAAGGGGTACATCGTACACAGTAGCCTGACCCTTCTCCATACTTTCTCACTCCACATTTAAGGGCGCAGGTCTTTTCTTCATACTCGGCCTCGGTATCTAATTCTCGCTTCTCTCTCTCCTCTGCAATATTTTTAGTACCATTGACCGTATACTTCTTCCTCTCTCCCCTGTCTTTGCCTCAGACGCTGTGGAGTTGAGAAGTAATGGGGAAGAAAGGAGGTGCCTCCTGGCTCACAGCTGTGAAAAGGGCTTTCAGATCTCCTTCAAAAGACAGTGAGAAGAAGAGTAGCCGGCAAAGAGAAAGAGATGAACAAGAAGAAGAAGAGGAAAAGGTACCCACTTTTTTCTTTTTTTCCTTGACTTCCATATTTTCATATGCTTAAAGATTGTTTGAATGCATAGAAATAAACCCATTATCTCATTTTCCTTTGTTCTTGACCTATTCTATATCTTAGAAATGGAAGGCGCAAACCCCATTTCTCTTCTATTGACCTCTCTTTTATTTCCTGTTTTTGCAGAAGAGAGAGAAAAGGAGATGGATTTTTGGCAAAGCTTCGCACCAAGAGGCACAGAACAAGCAGCAAGCCAAGACACCGGTTTCAGTCGTTCCTGACCAAAGGCACGCCATTGCAGTGGCTGTAGCCACTGCAGCCGCTGCAGAAGCAGCTGTAGCTTCAGCCCAAGCTGCAGTGGAAGTCGTTCGCTTAACCAGGCCTTCAAATTTCATGAGAGAATATTATGCAGCCATTAAAATCCAAACTGCCTTTCGAGGCTACCTGGTTCGATTCAAACCATTGTTTTCTCTGTTCTTGCTCTTCTGTTTCTCTGAGTGCGTGTTGCTCTTGATTGTACTTATGTTTAAAATACTTTGATTTCTGGTTTTGTGCAGGCTAGGAGGGCTCTGCGTGCCTTGAAGGGGCTAGTTAGGCTCCAAGCATTGGTGAGAGGGCACAATGTGAGGAAGAAGGCAAATATGACTCTAAGGTGCATGCAGGCTCTGGTGAGAGTCCAGAGCAGGGTGCGTGATCAACGCCTACGGCTCGCTGAGGAGAACAGATTCACGGCCAGAAACTTCTGGGAAACCACCGAAAGAAAGTCCATTGTATGTCTATCTTCGTTCTTTCTCTTGGAATTGTACTTCTTTTTTTGTCTTTGTCACCAATATTTGTATGTAATTTCTAGCTTTAAAGCCTTGCTTTCTTCTTGTATACTTCGTTATATGAGTCCCTTTATGCTTTCTTGGTTGCAGTCGAGGGATCGAAGCCGAAGCAGCATAACAGATGACTGGGACGACAGGCGTCATACCATTCAGGAAATCCATGCCAAATTACAGAGCAAGAAAGACGCTGCTCTAAAACGGGAAAAAGCCTTGGCCTACGCCTTCTCACATCAGGTTCTCTCTCTCTTCCTCTTCTTCTTCTTTCCCTACCCAGTTCGTTTATATCTATCCAGAAAGGGTTGGTTATAATGAATATGTCTGATTTTAAACTGTGGTCATTTGATTTTAAACCAGCTCTGGAGATCAGGAAGAAACCCATGTCCAATTGTAGAAGGAGAAGAAGACATGTCAAACTGGAGTTCAAACTGGCTAGAACGATGGATGGCTTTGAGGCCATGGGAAAGCAGGAGCCGAGCCTCCACTGACCACCGAGACCCCATCAAAACTGTTGAAGTCGACATGCAACGGTCCAGATCCTCAGCCACCCATGAAATCTATCAGAGCAGAAAAGACCAACACCCCACTTCCTCTTGCGGTGTCTCTTCTCCCCTTCACAGAACGCACATTCACCACAGTTCACTAAATCAATCACCTGTCACTCCTTCTTCTTCGAAAACCAGACCAACCCAAGTCAGATCAGCAAGCTCTAGGTGCACAAGAACAACAGAAGAAGAGAAAAACTTGGTCTATACACCAGCTTCAAATTACAATGGCCATTATAGAACTGATTATGTTCAGGCCGTGCCAAACTATATGGCTCCAACCGAGTCCGCAAAGGCGAGGCTGAGGTCGCAAAGCGCGCCTAGACAGAGGCCTGGTACACCGGAGAGAGAGAGAGGAAGCTCGGTTCGGAAGAGACTCTCTTTTCCTGTTCCCCCTAATACTTACTCTGCCTTATCTTCTTCTGGGTTTTCCCAGAGCTTGAGGAGCCCCAGCTTCAAGAGTGTACCCCCTGGTGCTCTAGGATTTGATCACTCCAACTTCTCTTCGTGTACAGAGAGCTTTGCTGGGGAGACCTCGCCTTCTTCTACTGGAGATCTCAGGAGATGGTTAAGGGGATGAGTAAATAATTTGAGTAGATAGATTAGAGGTGTTTTTTCTTTGAATTAACATGTGTTTTTTTTTGTTCACAATGACTATCTCGAGTTTCGTTTGTTTTCGGCGAAGCGAAATGGAAATCATTATGAGTAGAGAGAGAGGCAAAGATCATTTTTAATGTGTTTGTTCATTTTGGAGCGTGCGAGATTCGGCAATTTTAATATCTGAAGTTGGGGAATCTTGTGTGTAGAATAAGTGAATATTACTGAAGCGTGCAGGCATGGTGAAGATTTGTTTAATAGACGTAGAAAGTAAGAAAAACCGGGCGGGCTTTAGGTTTTCATGCTGTCTATGGAGAGGGCGCTGATTGGATGTGCGATAGAACAATCTCTCATTTTTACGCCTTTTGATATTGATGGGGAATCATGGCTCTCGAAAAATGCTGAAATAGTCCCCGATTAACACGAAGAAAAGTTTGTATAAGAAAAGTGATCTGTGGGTAGAAAATCTTTCAATTTGATCATCTCAACTTTAGGATTTATATATATGAAAAAAAATAATTCAAATCTTAAAAATAGTAGGTCGTGTAAAAAATTATCTGGACCATCTATTTTCAAGAGTTTTAAATGTTTATAGATCTACTTGATTGGTAGCATATTAGAATTTAAAAATTTCATAGGTTTCTATCCATCTAAAGGTTTCGAGCACTGAAAATACATCTCTGGACAAAATTTAGTGGTGTGCCTTACTTCTATGATCAAAGGGGGATGCCTTAAATGCAACGCTTTCTTTTATAACTTCTACAATCTAATGGGAGTTTGATGCAATTACAAATTTTAATTGTAGTTTTTGTTAATTTTATTTTTAGACATTGGGTAGAATTTTTATTTTTATTTATTAGAGTTAATTTTTAGAAATAGAATTAATATGAAATTTTTTTGAGTTAGTTTTGATATGTCTAATTTTTTATGAGTCATGTCTTTCTTTTGCAAGAGTTGGTCATCATTTTTAATATAAGTAATAGAGTCCGTTGAATAGATTAGGTTGTGTTTTCAATAAGCAAAGATTTATCTTATTAGGTTTTGTGTTGGATTTATGTGGATACGAAAGGATTAGTAGGTGTTATGGACTTCGGATGTACATCTATCTTTTGGTTGTGGAGAAAATCCACTAACGGAATACTTATCTTTTAATTAGGATGTGGAATGGGTAATAGGAAATAAAATTATCATTTTGTGAAAGCAAACTCCCTTAAATGAACACGTGATTTGTAATTGGGGGGATTGAATTTTGTTAATTAAAATAAATTGATCTTTTCAGATCATGTAGAGAAGAGAGACTGACCCCTTGGTAGGTGTATTTTCTTCCCTCTTGTGTTTATGGTCTCGTAGCAGAATACCCTGATCCACATGTTTTGTTCTTTTTTCTTGTGATTTTCTTCATGATTTTTATTTCTCTTTTTAAAAACGCACTTATTTTCTGGTGGGTGTATTTGCCAATAATTTTATAATTCGTTAGGTGGTATTAGAACCTAGTCGATTCTTGTGGATGGTGGTGTTTATTGATAGGCATCATGGCTCATGGACAAGGTCCTATAACCAGGTATAAGGACGCAACCCAGTCAACACGAATGAAACGTCAGAGCTATCTGAGAGACAGAACAAAATTTTGAGAAGCTAAGTAGAGGAGTTGACCCTGCGCATTACGCAAAAACTAGCCCCGACACACTATGATGACGGTAGTGTGTCAGATGCAATTTTCGAGAACTTATCCCATGCCAACACTTTGCATCGGGAGCCTTATGGTCGAGAAAGTGATATAGTTCCTCATAGTCGGAAGTGTGATCTAGCTAGGTTTGATGAAGAACTAATAGGTTTGAGTCGTCAACCGGACTTACCATTCCAAAGTGATCTCATATTTGATGAAGATCCTATATTTGATGAAGAGTAAGGTCAAAGGAACGGACTTACCATTCCAAAGTGATCTCATCTTTGATGAAGATCTTTTATTTGATAAAGATCAAGATGAAAGTTATCTCATATAAGCTCTTTATCATTCATTTATGACCTAAGGTTGAAAATTATTAAGAAAGTGCATTGTGATAGCTCTTTTCTTGTGCTCGTGCCTTTATTTCCACCCCAAGAGAGGGGAGAGAGAAATATTTTGAAAGTGAGAGACTACACTTGGACCACCCTACCTAAACCTTGGACCACACTACCCAGACCACCCAACCCTAATCCATTGTCCACATCACCCATAGCCATGCCACTTATACTCTATACTCCCTATACCATACTTAACCCATACCAGTCCATATACCACACTTAATCCTAGTCCATACATCATAACTTACCCATTCATTATGCTCCCTACCATGTACCACACCTTAATCGTAGTCCATACTAGTCATAATCCTTAACCTACTTCACCCAACCCAAGTCAACTATACACCTTAGCCTAGACGAATCACAAGCCATACTCACTTGAACTCATCCTAATCTAGCCTTACAAACCCAAGTCCTCTCTCAACTGCCTTCAAGGGAACTCGAGAGTGCACCTAGTCGACGGGTTCGAGTCTATACCTCACCTACCTAGTTACCACGGTCCACCTCTCTTCTCCTGCTCTTCTTCTTCTTCTTCTTCTTCTTCTTCTCTTCTTCTTCGTCTTCCTCTTCTTCTTCCTCTTCTTCTTCCTCTTCCTCTTCCTCTTCTTCTTCCTCTTCTTCTTCCTCTTCTTCCTCTTCTTCCTCTTCCTCCTCTTC